AATGCAATTATAGATTGATATCATTTAAATTATGCGAATATTCTACTGTTCATCATCCCTCATCATCATTACCGTCATCATATCGCATAACTAGTAGAAGTCGTTAGATAAATGAGTAAATGATAAAGTTTAGGATAGAATTAAATTGTTCATTGCTCATACATATATGCATCATTTGTAATTTCATTACTTTACATCTTTCCCTGCTACTTCTACTTTACTTTTTGTTACAGTTTAATTTAAACATTCACAAGTAAATGAAGATGAGAATGAATTAGCATCTCACAACTAACTTGACTCTATTTATAGCATTTCCGAAAAGTTCTTGGTACAAGACTAGAAGCAATTAAACCTTCCTAGAAATATAAGCTTTGTTGTCGGAATTGAAATAGATAAAAGCCAAAGGAAATTAATCTTTTAACAACTTTAAAGGATTAACTCAAAACTAATTTTAAATGAAGATTTTTTGTCTACGTACAAAAGATCTGACGCAAGTTTCTTCATTTAATAAATTCTTTAATTAAAAACATTACGTGATTGACATATAATTTTATGCTGCTTAGTGATAAATATTATGAAATCAGGGTTGTTGAAATTCTGTTTTTTTAATTCAAAGGCAATGACATAATCAAGTCTAGACTAAAGTTAATGATTATTAAATAGGTTATATTTCATTGGATAAGCTGGTTATCAAGCAATGCATCAAAAGGCGAAGATTATGATTAGGTTTGGTGCAAATTAGACCATTTAAAGAGAACAAGTTTGAATGAATCTCCCCAAATATCCAAACTATCAAATAAACCCATTAAAAATCAAGTCAAATTGATTTTCAAACCTACTGTGAATGAACCTAATTTACCTCTCGTCAGTCGACATGCCCTTGAATTTTTTTTTATTAAAAACAAGAAGATAAAGAAAGGCATGGAAAGCTTATTTTTCAAATATTAAATATTCATGCGAACCTCGAATCTAATTAAAGAAACCGACTTTTTTTCTTGTTTAGATTAAAAAGAAGAGCGACGAAAGTACCTTGGAAAAGGAAATTGCCACTCTCGACACTGACAATGTGTGATGAATTAGAAAATGATGATATTTAATTCAAATTAGTTTGAATGAGTGAAAAAAAAAGATGTGAATGAAAGAAGCTTTCATTCATTGGCAAGAATACACAATGAATTAAAAATAAATCAAAGAAGAAACAAATTGCTGCTCATTACACAGTAAAAGGCGAAAGAAAAAAGTTTCTCACTTAATGCCGAGGAAAAGAGTCACAAATGTCAAATTCTTGTGCTACTTTACTACTTTTTGCCGATCGCTTTCAAAGAGCAATTTAAATGAATGCAAATCTTGCACTTCAGACATTTTTGTTAATAAGAAAAGTGTGAATGAGATTACAAGTAAAGTGACAATGAAGTTCAAATAACAAGGGACGGTACATACAGCATGCAATCAAGTCAAGCATATTAACATTGAGTGATTGCCTCCAAAAAAAGAGCCGTCGTAAATGTCAAAATTATTTTAACGAGAAACTTTTCTGTTTGCTTTTTTAATTTTGACATTATTTAAATGATGCGGCATTGCCATCATTTTGTTGTCGTTGTCATTGATTGTTCATTAAATTATAATTTTGTCTAACAATATGAAATCATCACCAGAAGATTGAGTTTAAAGCACACTAGATAATAGCAACAGCAAATCAAATTTAATTACATTAGTGCTACCAACTAATTAGAAATGCAAACAACGTCTTTAAAGACTACTTAATGGCATGAGTCTTTTAACATGTAAAACAGAAAAGAGTTAGTCAGTAGCTGTGGCATTTGTTTGGTTATTATGTCTATCGCCTTTTTTAAAAATCTATAAACATTCTCACATTTTTAACCCAAATTAGCTCCATATCAACATGCTTATGCTGCCATAACAATAATTTTTTTAAAAAAAGAGAGACAAGAAAATGCCGAACACAATCAATTACTTGCTTCTGTAGCAAATTTGCCATTTTCCAATCTTTATTGCCTGCTATTTTTACAACATTCGAAAATCCAATAAAGCAATAAAATAAACAATGCCTAATAATGTCTTGTATCGTTCGGGTAAGCTGCCTTAATTTATTTGATCAAACCATGTTCGAATCTGCTTTGGAACATATTTTATGCGATAAATATCAGAGGGCAAAATACAGAGGCGTAGCTGACGGGGTATAACTTAGTGGGTGGAGTATTCAGGGGATTCAGATGCTATTCCTTCAGTATAAGACTAGTTTGAACATTCTTTATGGCAATTTAAATCCTAGAAACGCCTCATCACAAGCATGAAGAATTTTTTTAAAAAATAATTTTTATTGCAAACAAGCCATTTTCGCCACAGCATTAAATTATACAAGTTCCATACTAAAATTTAATATGTTAAATATTTTATGATCACACTATTGTGCTATTTTTCATTTTCGTATGACGTCGCAATATATTAATCGGAGTTATGAGTATGAAAGAATTAATAATGAAAGAGACATCATTGTTAATTCATACGATCATCGTGATCTCACTGCTCTATTTCTAGCCATAACAACAGTTTTATGTGTCAAAAAAATCTGTGGAAATCTCGCAAAACTCACAAATAAAAATTCTCTGGAGCCGGGGAATAAATGAAATAGCAAATTTTTATGATGAAGTTCCCATAATGTTATACATCATATTCATAAACTCTTAACGATTTCCCAAAAAAAAAAATCATGTTCAGCATTTTTTGTGTTCAAAACGAATTGGAGAGAAAAAAAAATTCAATTAAAAAATTTTGTGTTATGGTTTTGCGTGGCCGACCAGTCAATATGTATGTATATATACATAATAATAATATTTTCATAGCACATTCCATTCAGTCAAACAGTTTTATGTGCACGCATCATTGTATGATTCTTTTTACATATTTTGTGAAATCATCATGATGCTCATTACATTACATTCATCTTCTCCACGCTTATCGAAGAAAACATTAATTTTTTAACAGAAGATGCGATTTTTTTTTGTATTTGAACATTTTCCGATGCCTGCCTGTCATTTTCCCTGTCATCGATATTGCTTTTTTATGTTTCGTAAAAAAACGCAGATATTCACAAAAAAAAAATTGTTATAATTGAAAGGCATTAAATCTCTCGTTATTGTTACTTTATATTCTCTTTAGTGGCTTTGGAAGATTATTGTGGGGATGACAAAGTGCGGCCATTAAAGGCTTGTCAATATTAGCGATGGAATTGATTTAAATTCGTTTATTTTAAAAAATTTCTGGTTTCATGGCAACAGAACCTAAGTAAAGCAGAATTTAAAGTCAACTAGTTTTAAAGGTTGACTAGCCATAATTAACAAGCGACCATGTATATTAATCTAAATGCATTTGAGAACATGAAGGTTCTATTGCATTAAATTGACTCGAGTGACTAAAAAACTCACTCAGATGTGATTAGCAAGAAGCTTTAACCCTCTTCAAATGTGTTGCTTTAATGAAACACTTGTGTCGCATAGTTTGACTCATAGCACTGCTCTAATTCTAATCCAACTTTTAATTCATAAATTCCACAAATTTTAAACTCCTTCTCAGTTTTGAAAGACCAAATCACTAAGTCACAGATCATCACTTTCAGAATTAGAAATATTCCATTAAAAAGCATGCCGATAGACATCCTAAACAGAAACAAAGATGCTTTACAGTGAAAAAATAAATAAATTAGCAGGCACGAGTAATGACTGCGAGAAGATGTGACAAACTTATTGCTGTGTAGAAAAAAAATTAATAAAAATTTATCACCAAAGTTCAAGGTTGTCACGGCACTGTCGTACAGCCATAAAATGAGGTCACATGAAAGCAATAAAATATATCGTCTAAAAATTAAGCCATTAATATGCTAAGGTTCTATATTCAAATTTTTATTTTATCCAAATATATTAAATCCATTTCGTTTCACTTCTCTTGTGTACAATGAATCTACATTGAAGATCACGCGTAAGAGATGATTAATTTAATTAAGAAAACGAGTAAAGAATATGAATTATGGGACGTTTTTAAAGGCAATAAAATTACAATTTATTCTCCGTCAAATGGTTCTGCTCGTAAAATATTCTGACTGACTAGTTTCTCTCATTCTATGCTGTATGCACTTCACTACTTCTTCTACGAATACTTTAATGAAATATGAGACATAGTCAAGCTTAATATTGTTCATAATTCATAGATACTTTTATTAAATTATGTCTGAGACATTTAGTTTGGCCTTGAAGAAGATTTTACTAAAATAAAATTATGACCGAAATTAGAATTAAAATTGAATAAGGCACAGAAATAAAAATACTCCACTTTACATCCTTCTGGGAAATATCTATATTCATTTCTACCTTCCAATAAATATCATCAAGTTTGAAAGGCTAAAATTAGCTAAAGTTAAACAAATAATTCGAGTACGCATCACTTGATTGTTTCATTCTAACTGAATTCATTTGTTAAATTGGAATTTTTATGTTTACTGAAGCTTTTTCTTCACATTCTTCGACATTAATGAGTTTGGATTAGGTAGCCAAAATACACAGAGGGGATGTTGTGTGATGTTTTGTGGGGTGACTATCAAGTAATTGTTTATGAAGTGTGTCTTTTAAGATACAAGTTTGATTTTTGGAATTGAATTAGAAGCAGATCTGTTGAATGACTAGCATACGAACCCTTAAACTTTGAATTTACATATACAACGTTCTAATTTCACCATTAAGTCGCAGAATATCATCAAAATGCGCCAAATCTTAGTCATTAGAATATGCCTCACAATCTTTCCATCTTACACGTACGCCCTCGCTTAATAAGCTGAACTTAAAGGATCTAAAGACTGATGAAATACGTTTTATGAATTTTAATTGACTTGAAGCCAAATATTTCTGCCCTACAATTACACCCAAAAATAAACTCGAATGATTACAATCAATTCTAATGCTCTTATTTGCCATTTTCATCTCTTACAGAAAAATGTAAATGAAGTAGAGTAAAAATAGCAGAAATAACAACAAAAGGCAAACGAAATCACCGTGAATAAGAAGGCAGCTTATATAAAAAAAGCAATATTATTGTTTGTGTACACACAATCTTCAATATTATTATCAGGTCTTCAGCTGCTCTTTTTTTCTAGCAAAGGAAAACAAGAGGAAGAAACGAGAAAAACTTATTGCAAATATTTGACATCTATCCATAATCATGAAGCTTTCTAAGGAATTGAATTTCATTTGTTGTAAGTATCTTTAGAGACGCCCACGACAACCCTTTACATATCATTTACTTTTTTTTGTACTGGAGCGTGTCCAGGGGATAAGGTGATGCAAGTCATTTAGTATTGTTAAGGATGAACCTTGGTTACTTCTTAAAATTCAGATTTAACTCCTGAATACGCCTCTGCCGTTGTACATCCACATATATTCCACATTTCTTTCATATGACAGCAAGTACTCATGAGTATCTGATGCTGTACTACACATTTTTTTTTGTAAATTGTTTTGTTGTGTACATAGGAAGTAAACATGCATATATGGCATGAAAATATGTGCGCAAGCATAATAAATATTCATTTATTCACTTATTGACATATTTTGCGTCTTTTATTTGTTCACAGTTCTTTTGGTATTTTGTTTTGTAAATTCACAACAAATGCATCAACAGCAACAGCAACAACAAAAGCCAAATCATCAACAGCGACACCATGGCAGACGAATTCAACAGAATTCAAAAGTACGCCGCATTTATGCAATGTGTCCACCTTCATTCACAAAAATTGGAAATGAATGCTATCATCTGTCATCAGCTAAGGCAAGCTGGCTTGATTCACATTTTGAGTGTAAAGATAAAAATGCAAAGCTTGCAGAGCCTTTAAAATATTCTGATCGTTTACTACGCAAATATCTCATGCAACGAGGAAGAACGCGCGGTGATATTTGGATTGGAGGCATGTACAATTGGCAACGAAATAAATGGCAGTGGGGTATGAAATGATGATGATGATTTTGATTTTTTTTTCTCGTACGCACAATGAATGAATCTTTGATTTACAGGTTACAATGGAAAAGACATGACTTATCAATCATTCAGTCAGATGAAGCCTGGGTAAAAGATTTTTGAAATTTGATTTTTACTGTCAAAAAGTAACTTGTTCCATTTCATTTCTACAGCGAGGATCTTAAATATCATTGTTCAATTCTTAATCCAGAATTAAAGTACAGGTACGTTGATGTGTTTCCACTTTTTTTTTTGTAAAAGAACTAACAATGAAAAATGAGTGAGATTCAATGAACAATACAGTCTTATCTCTTCTCTTGTCTTCTTCTTTATATACCGTTTCTGTTCTTTATTTTTTTGGCAACATTTTCGTGCTAAATATATATTTGGTATTATGTCCGACTCAGAGTTGGGAATTTGCTGCTGTCTCCGTATATAAATACCTGTCCTCGACTTTAGACAATTGACTATTGACTAGACATAGTTGACTGAAATCTAGAGATTAATATTGTCGATTAATCAACGTTAAAACCGTGTGTTGGTTCATATAAAAATTAGATTAGATACTTTGACTTCATGCCACAGCTTAAGAAGTCAGTTATGCTCATGTACCCAACCCACAGTGCATCCTTTTCCCCTATTGGACATCATAAATCAATAAACTGTTATTAAGTAAACTTCTCAACTCTGATAATATCCGTTATACTTCATCGCGGATATTTTCTCACAATTTATGGCCACACCGTCAAGATAAGAACCATTATTGACTTAAGAGGACGTTTACCCTTTAGCCATTTCACAACTTTTCTGTTAAAGCCATTCCACAAACAATGTAAATTATTCTAGAAAAACTCTTACAAATGCGTTTCGGTCATCAGCTTCCGGTGACCGTTTACAATAGCACCCAAGTTGCGAAAATAAATTAATTTCGTTCGCATGATGAAAAGATGATGATTAAGAAAAATAGCACTTAAGAGAGATAGATAATATGAGGGGAGAGAATAAACGGAACGAGAACATAAAATAGAAGTGAAAAGACAGAAATGATTATTTTATTGTGTGGACATACATGCGCCAGTTAGTTTCTATGTTATTATTGTTATTATTGTGTTAAGGTTTGGTGCTGCTGTTTATTTTTTCTAAATATATGATAATAATTATGGGTCTTGTCCCTTAATATTGTCAATTTATCATCATGTCTTTCTATTTATTCTCATTCAACTTCATTGTCTGAACGAGAGAAAAAAGAAGAATGTTAAAGTTAGGGAGGACGTAGACTTACTGACTGATGCCCATGATTCATTGCCTACGTTTTTGATTTGGATCTCAACTTTTTTTCTATGCTTACAAATGAATTGATTTTCATCCCAAAAAAAAAAAAATATTTTATTGCTAGATGGTCGGCAAAATTATGCTTTGAGAAGCATTATTATCTGTGCCAGCATCGTATGCCGTATGTGAGTGAAAAGAATCGACAACGAATTTATACAAGATGGAATGAAACATTCCCTGGGCAAATGGCTAATGAAATTCAGGTTTATGTAACATCACCAAATGGAAATCGAAGGTAAAATGAGCAAGAATTTATGCATGCACGATTTACATTTAATCCAATTTAATCCGCTTTTCATACTCATCAAAATAAAAATTAATTCAGAGAAATGCAACAACGTAGTGGAGGCAATACGAGACGTCCTACGGTAACAAGACAACAGAAAAAGGTACCACAGAATCAGACGTCGAGAAATCAAGGCGGACAAAGGAATAATCAATTACCAGTAGACACACGTCGTATAAGTAATGAGATAAATCCACCAGAAATTGTATCAACACAAGATGCACAGTTGCGACGTAAGAAGCAGCAAAAGGACAAAAGTAAGGAAAGTCGAACATCCAAGCTCACAGGGGATGTCGATTTGGGTAGAAACTTTTTAAAGAAGAATATGAATAAGCAGTCAAAGAGCCGTAGAAGACAAGAATCAAGAGCATCGACAGTACCAATAGTCACAACATCAACAACAACCACCGAGTCTCCAAATTCAATTTCACAAATTTATCCAGTAAATCCACATAGACACAATCATTACAATAGTAATAATAACGATGATGATGATGCAAACAATCGACGTATTGATAAAAGTAGTAGACCTGAAGATACATATCGTAATCAACAATCATATTCAACAGTATCAACAATGATAGTAAACAGTGGAAATATTAACAATACAACGACAGAATTGCCAGCCTCAAAGCTGATTGACAAGGTATGAATGGAACTGTTTTTAGCACATTTTCTTAAGGCAAAGATTCTATAGAATGCTCTCTGTCATTTGCATAATAACCATTCAATTAAAGGCTGGTTGAATGCGCTGCATGATTAGCTTTAGGGAGTTGAATGGCTCACTGGCAAATATATATGGATATCTGACTAATTGGTCAAGAATCACTCTTCGTGATTGTGATATCGAAGCAAATTGGAATGTAAAGTATCGAGCTTTAAATGGGCGAATATACTAATTTGAGAGTAAGGACTTTGTAGGTAAGCTGTGAGGTAACAGATTACTAACCCAGAAGACTTGTGCTTGAAGATTTGGGTTCGATTCCCACTTTCGATTCATTACAGAAACTTTTGTCGATATGACAAGGATTCGTATAAGGATCAATTATAGTCAGTGCCCTCACAGGAATCGGAGTGAATTAAACTCAACTCAAAATAGCTTCAACTGACTTGCTTTTCCAAATGACTCTCATTTTCAAGTCTTCAATCCTCGTTAGTATGGAAAATGCGCTCTAATCAGTCACAATTGACCGTTTTTATACCATCATTCATGTTTACCAAAAAATTTTCAATTCAAGTCACTTTAATTTTCTCACTTTCCTTTATTCTCTTTTTTTCCATTGTTGCATACAGAAAAAGCGTTTAGACAACATTCGCGAGAAGCTTTCAAGATTAACGGAACAGGAAAAAATGGAATTTGTAAAATTGAAGGCACAACGGAAGGCTCAGCGAAATAATAAAAGCATCAACGACACCACATCCTAAACTGTTCAAAATCATATTTACGAGATGATAATAAAAAAAAAGTACGAGACGTAGAAAGAGGGAAAGAATGAAAAGCTTTTGGTTTTAAAAGGAATTTATCAAACAAATCCTTTTCTTCTTCTTTATCTAACTAGCGACACAGCACACACACACACAAAATAAAATAAAATAAAAATGAATTGGGAATGTTAAGGGATCTGATGCTCGAGGGATAGGAAATGTTTTTTTAGCATAAGAAATTAATTCAACAAAATGAAAATAAAATTTAAAGTAGCGTGCAAAGCACGGTTTTAGGTGGATAAATTATTATGTCGTTGGGAAATCCTCAACTTCAAAGTGATGATTTAGTGACGATTTTTTTATTCCTCCGTCTGATTTTTAAGCAATTTTCTAAATACTTTTAAAGTAAAATTGAAACTCATCGAAATTGTTTAAAACTGAAAATCTGGCAGAAGTTTTTGTCTCAATCTATAAAATGAAAATGCTGATGATTGAAAAATGCAAATTAAATTCATATGGTGGAAGTTCTTTTCAAATTAGACGAGAAAGTTTGATAACAAAAAGCATCGAAGGTTCATTTAGCTTTGCTAGAACTGCCAATTAGAGTTGAAAAACATTTATTTTTAGACTTGCAAGCACTTGAGCAACTTTTTTGACTTGGAAAATTGAAGAATTGGAAGTTTCCTCTTGTTTGCTGTTAATTTTGCTAGTCAACTGCCTTAAAATTGTAATTTTGATTTATTTTGGAAGTTTAGAGTTTGAGGTATGTCTTCGAAACTGAACTGCCATTTAGAGACTCATTTAATGGTACACGAAGTAATCAGTTTGGTTTATCAAGAAGAGGTCCTATCCCTAACTCTACTAGACACCCGAATTGACACTTGACATAATTGTTTTGATAATAACAAGTCCTATGGATCTAGACCTGCCTAGATTCTTTTATTGTCGACCTAAGGTCTAGTTCTAGGCAATAATGTCAACTGCCTACTTGGGACAGTAACAAAAATCATTCAAGTAATGCTTTCTTGTCGAACTTTCTCGCCAAATTTTGACAAGCATCCAACCATTAACATCTTTTAATCAATCAGCCATACCATAAAGAGCATTAGCGAATTGATAACACGGACAGGAACTAATCATAATAATTATCCCTCAAAATTTCCTTCCTTAATTATTTATGAATGCGTGACATCGAAAACAATAAAGTTTTCACATCATCTCATTTCCTTTATAACATTGTTAAGTGATTAAATTAAGGGAGTAAAATAATCTTAAGTTTATTTGCCTCCCAACCTCCTGTATGCTTTTGTAAATAATCTCTCAATAATTCTACCTTTAATACTTTACTTCCTTCCTTCCTTCCTTTCTTTTTTCTCATACAGAGACTGTCAGGAAAAATTATTTTTCGTTAATGAATCGCTAAGCTGATTGCATTAAGCGAGAAACTTTATTTTTTCTTTATCCTTCTTGATGATGGGAAAAATAAAAGTTTTATGTTTTTAAATACTTTCATTCATTACACCTAACACAGCAGTAGTTATGAAGCAGAAACTTTAGAAACTCTTGTAATTACTTAAGCTTAAGCCACTTTTAATTCATTCTTTAGCTGCACACCTCACATGTAACTTTGCTAAATAATAATGGAAAGTAAAAGAATACTTATAAGTGAATTGGGGTTGTTTGTAAGTGATGTCTATCAATATGAAAGCTACAGCTGCCGTGTTTTGGAATAGAAACTTCAAAAACTATATTATCAAAGACATTCAAAATCGTTGGATGTTATATGTGGCCGAATCTTACTCTACGTCATTCACAAATGGCGTCTTTGTATCAAGAAAGATCGTCTATAAAGCTATGAGCTGCAAAACGTGTGAAAAACAGCTCCAATTCGAAATAGGTCCTTAATAAATGAAGTCCATTAGAAATGGGATTTTAAAGACCATCATTGACATTTAAAACATCCCATAGATCCCTATTAAACGTCATTTACGAACGATACCCCCTAAAAAGTATTTCCCTGCTTACTTCCTTTCTCATTTACTAATGAAATTAGTAATTAAATTAATTAATTTCACTACCAAGAATTATTTTTATTATTTTTGTCATGAATCAAAGATATTTTTTAAAGATGCAAGAAACAAGAAGTATGTAATAGTAATGTATAATTAAGTTAAAGTATAAAACTTTGAAAACCATGTTATCCACATAGATGCTTTTATGCTTTAATACTAAAATATTTGATTGAAAATAGAATTGAAATAAACATAAAAGGATACATCAAATAAAAGTTAATGCTGTTGTTTTTCTTAGGTTTGGTGGAAATTTTTTTTTTTTTGAATGTGTGGATTAATTGCCATTTGCCATGTGTTTTTAATGTTTGGCGAATTTTAGTAGCTTTAAAGAATTTACGTATTGGTTCTAGCTTTAAATTACGTACGTTTTTTGTTACGTAACAACTCGTACAAATTTAATGTGTAAAATTACGCATGTTTTTGATGTGTAAACTTTTGTATGTATTCGGTATGTTAAATAACGTACGCATTTGATATGTAAAATTACAAACGTATTTAATATGTAAAATTACGTACGCATTTGATATGTAATATTACGTACGCATTTGATATGTAATATTACGGACGCATTGGACAGGTAAGTTATTTCCAGAATTCTTATTCCTCAGAAATAAAGCTTCAATTCTCAACCATTTCCCATTAATATCAATCCAGACAAAACACTCCCATAGCAACTGACAGAAAATAAACTTCCCAAAACATAACAAGGAATTAAAATGAGAAACTTCACACCATTAATTCCCGTCCGCATTATTTTAAATGAAGGCGGAATCAAAACAGTGCACTATAAAATTTCAGCAGAGCAAGAAATAATGTTGAAAATGTTTCCTTTAATTACGAGATTATTATAAAGGAAAACTCTCGTCTTTTCAATCAAATGAGTGGATATATAATAGAAAAGAAGCTGAATGAAGTCAATGGATATAAAAATAAATGGATTTTCCTCTTCTTTTACTTCATCCTTTTTTTCTCTCTTCTAAGTAGCTTGTGTCAATTATTTTACAGTTGAAAAGACGTTAATGTTCATTGAAGTGAACACAGACTCTTATTTCTCATTCATCATGATTCAGTTTCTTAAAATGTACTTAATTAAGAAGGGCTTTATTGTTTTACTCACCTTAATAAAATGACAGAGTCCGTCTCCTTTTACTTCACCGTTCTTATCACGATACAATTTAAGCTTTAATTTTCCAGTCTTTAAATCCTTCATGACCATTCCACATTTACTCATCACATCACCAAATTCCGTCTCAGTGATGTCGAGCGGAAGATTTGAAACATAAACTTTTGTATTATTTTCCGGTGCCACATCAAACCATTTTGGTGGTTCTGCAGGCGCTTTTCGCTTCTTTCCGATAAGACTTTGTTGCGCATCTGATGATTCACCTTCCGTTTGCTGCTCTGCGTTTGTCTCTTCCATTTCACTCGACTTGACTAACTCCTTATGCTTATCGTCGTCGTCGTCTTTCTTTGTACTTGACGTATTATCTACAAAGCCATAATTCAATTGATATAATGCCAGAAAGTCGTCATCAACTCTTGGAAACCAAGCTTTTTTCAGCTTGTCCTGAAATGAAAGAATTTAAAGAGAAATTATAAGGATGACATCATGAATAAGAGCATTTCTTCATACCCAAAAGAAAACAGCACCATCTTGATCTGTATAAACTTGACATGCTTCCTTGTCGTCGTAACCATAAACACCTGCTTCATTAGCACTTTCTTGTTTCATTTTGGGTATCCATTGATTTGTTTTATCACACCATCGATAATATTCATTCTCAAGTGAAGCCTTGGGTACCCACTTTTGTGCTTCTTCGTCCCATTTATAATGCTCATTCTCCATCGGTTTCCATTGATTTGTGTCTTTACACCATTTATATTTATACTTTGTGGCTTCATCTGTGTAAATTGCAACGCCATCCTCATATGTCACATTCTTAGATGATGTAGCTGCTTGTGGATCCTCATTTGTAGATGCCGTTGACTCTGTTTTCATATTTGACTCAGCTGTGGCTGTTTTTGGATCTTTTTTCTCTTTTATTGACTCAATTTTAGCTGATGTTGGATCTTCTTTAATCTCTGAATCAATTGTGGCTGCTTTTGGCTCTTCTTCATTTTCTTTTGTTGACTCAATTGTGGCACTTTCGTCTGAAGGCATTTTATCTTGATTATCATCGTCTGACATCTGAAAAGATACAGAGAAGTTAATAGATATTCTTGACTAGAGAAACAGATCCCAAACCCAACCCCTTGCTATGTCCCTGAGTATTCATAGCAACAAGAAGTCAACAACAGCTTTAATCAGACGTACAACTCTTCTCATTCTAATGCATTACAATTTTGTGAATGGAATATTAGCAGTAAATAAAGAGCTTTTTTCCACTTAACAGAAAAGTGAGACGCCGACAAGGAAAGAAGGGCAAAGTAATCGAGAATGCCATAAAATGTATATAAACAATCCAAATTTGTTTGAGATTTTCTCATTGTGGCTGATTAAATTTACTAAATAATAAGAAATGGAAATGAGGCGAAGGACATCCATTGGTAATACACACACACACACACTACAAGTCAATGGTGAAATGAAAATGAAAACTCTAAAAAAAAGGGCAATGAAGAATTCATTAACTTAGCACAGCGTGAGTCGAGTTTTGGGTTAAAACCGAGAAAATATTCACAAATTGAATTCTATTCTTTTGCTGCTGAAAAGAGCTAATGGAATTCAGGTCATGATTATTTGTTGAAGGGTTTCTAAATGCATGTAGGTGTTACCATGAGTACGAGATTGCATTCCTTAATTAATTGTAAGTACGTGGGATGTACGAAACTTTTATTAGGAAAAATCTTTTTAACAAGACTAAGTTTCTATGTTTCTGAGCACTAATAGATGTATCGTGCTGTGATAAACTTCCTAAGTCCTGTGTCTGTTTAGAAACTTGACGCTAGAACTTTTTTGAACAAAAACATTTTTAAACACATTGGATTTTTAAATTTGAATTCGTACATCGTCTGGGGCTTAATTAATATCATTTATCAACTTCAATTTACCATCAATATATCAAATAAGAACTTAACATTGACATAAAAAGAGCTTTAATGAAAGCTTTTTGACGAAAGACTGAACAAAATTTATTTTTGTGGTTTTTTTTCTGCTGAATCCGAATAATCTTATCGGAATTGATTGTTCCTTACGGCTATTTACAGGCTTCTTCCGTTTGCTACGTTGTTTATACTTTTTAAAGCTGATTGAACATTGAATAAATTTGAATTTAATTTTTTTGCAATTTTTCTTTGTTTACTTTATGTTTAAAGCTTTAAAGTTCAAAAAAATCAATAAAACTGTTGAAGAGATCTTTCATCATTTACAAAACCGTTAAAAGCTTTAATGTTCAAATTTTACAAAAACAGTTAAAAAGCTCTCAAGTTTAAAATTGAAAAATACGTTTAAAATCAAAGCTTTAAAAGATGTTAAAATCTTTGAAGATCAACAAAGCTCTAATAAATACAGTAAAATTAAAACCTAATATTTTCCACGTAACTTGACAATAATTTATTGTCAAAGTATAAAAAATGCTTGTGCTTAGCTGTAATATTAGTGCTTATTAGGAGAATTACACTAAAGCATGCGAAATATAAAAAGCAATGAAGTATATCGTCTGTAAACGATAAAAACGGAATGTTAATGAGCTAATGCATCAATGTTGTTGCTTGGTTAAGGACGTTCTGTGGTCATTACAACCCCCACATAATGCCAAATAACCTTTTTCTTTATTCTAATGCCATCTTAAAGTTTATGCCCACGTAGAGAATCCGTAAATTTTTCATAATTTAAATAAATTTTCATTTCATTTCTGAAAAATGTTTTATTTGCAGCAGGTAAATAGCCTTATTCTGTATGGGGTTAAAGACGTCTTTTTTTGTCAGAATAAGAAGAAGACTTACATTAAAGAGCAGAAGAAAAATGTATCAAGGCAATGTTTTACATGCTGAAAGAACCGAGCTTTTTTTTACAAACATAAATCTTAATTAGGAAGAGGGTAATGAATCCTACTTGCTCTTTGCATAACACGCGAGGTGTCGAAAAAAAAACTTGTTCAAAAAGATTTTTCATAAAACAACAATAATTTTATGGGAATTAAATGATATCACAGAACAAAGAGAAAGTATGGAATGTGAAGGTTGAATTCCTTAGCAAAACTTTTTGTTACTAAAGACATTTCATGTGAAAAATCCTTTTCAAGAGAATTATTAGATAAAAATCTTAATTTAAGTGATTTTTCATCGATCGGAATTTAATCTTTACTGAATATTTGGGGTCGTTTGTAAATGACGTACATCAAATAACATACTCCTTCTAACCTTCAAATATTGTTCATGCTAGACAACCCCCCCTCCTCATCTTCAAAAAGCTTTCGTCTCTATCATCTTCAAAATTCAATTAGGGAATTGATCGGTCCTATATATAGACATTGTCGAATTGTTCACATAAGGAAGGAAATGTCATTCCAAGTCAATGATTAATTTTCAATTGAAATTCGAACAAAAAAGAAAGAAAAATCGGAAGTGATCAATAGAATAGAAAATTAGAAAGTTTTGATGCGGAAGAATAAAGGTTTCGTATGGACGAATAGACTTTAAAAGTTGGGGTGTTGAGAGAATTTATTCCAATTGAACTTATTAAAGTTCTTAAGGCTCAATAACAAACCATTGAAGTTCAAAATTGCTAAACTCGCTTTAAAGCTTGAAAGTTCAAAATTATAAAAACTGTTTAAAGCTTCGAAGATTTTAAAACCCGTTCAAGTTTAAAATTCAAAAATCCGTTAAAAACTGCTTTCTTTTCAAAGTTCGAGAAACTAGAGATAATGCTTTTGTCTTTTTGTTGGAGAACGCTTCTTGGTTTGCAAGAGTTCGTAAATTCTAATGATGACTGTCAAGTCTTTAAAAATTCCCGGTAAAATCAAATCCCTAATCCTAGACAAATTGAACGAAATGTGCCTGTGAAAATTACGGCAAGTACTGCTGGATAAGACACAACACGATATACTGCAATTAAGATAATAATCAAGGATATCAGCACGCACACTTTTATTCTCATAATTTCACATCATATCTTTTATTATTTATCTTTTTCATGATTATTGTCTATCGTTATTGTTGTATTGTATATAAGAGTAATAAAATATATCACATAGTTTTTTAGGCAACAGCATCTAGTAATCGGAAAACTGCTCAATGTGCTTGGCAAGCTCGTGAATTGCCTCTTCTGTATTATATTCATCTGCAATGAAGTATTGAACTGTATCAGAATCTGGCACTTTGCTAATTACACCCCACAATTCGAAAAGTTTTAAGGCATTCTTCGTCCATTTGATTGAGCAACTTTCCCAATATTTGCAGTTTTCAGCAAAGCATTCATCAATCATAGCATTTATTGCAATTTTAAGGAAATATTCTTCTTCCACGACTTGATTGCCAATTAAACGTTTCAGACAATACGCAACGTTCATGTAAGTTTCTTGAATTGGCAAAACAACATCCTTTAAAAAGTTAATTTCAGTCTGCTTCTCTGTGTTGATTGTAACTTCATTTTCATCATTTACTGAATTTCCATTTAAGCTATCGTTCTCATCATACTCATCAACATTATCGTTTTCTTCAAAATATTCAGCAATTTTCTGTGCACGTATCTCATTTTCCGTGTAAGTGACGACATTAGGTTTCGTCAGTAAATCTCTTCTCGATAATATGTCAAAGGCACTTTCTAATTGCTCATACAATTGGCTGCAAGCTCTATATAATGGCACTTCTAATTGTAAATACTCAAATAATTCCCTAGCATGTTCAATCATCTTATTGTAATCGACATAACTATCGACTCGTTTGTAATGTTCAGCTGCTAGAATTATAACTGACTGTAGGGTGAAATGACAAATTAATGTTTCGGCATAATCCCATAACTCAATCAGTGTGGCTGAGTCTTCCTTCGGTTTAATCATTAAATTCTCATTTATTATGATTTTATTATTCAATTTTGTCACAGCATATTTTGCTACATCCAAAGCATCACCATCAAATGAGAAATCGATAAAATTTGTTGCGTTGCTGCGAATTTCGTCGATTCTCTTGGCAATTTCCTCAATTGTACCGCCATTAGTGCGAAAGTATGTGAGCAATAAATATGCAAGCATGTTTGTTGAGAATATTGGTCGTTTAAATACGATATCATGAAGTAAATGTCCTTCGATTGCCTCAATCATAGCCTCTTCTGTTTTGTCATCCTCTTTAATCCATTGCAGCAAATCTGAGCATGTATATGGCTCATTGAAATTTACTTTGACAAGTCCATAATTCTCATAGAAACATTTTGGCAAAATAGTCAACATCGGTGGCTTAAATTCTTTTGAGTGCTGTATTTCATAGTTGATTGAAACTGGCATCATATAAATCTCCTTCAATTTACCGTACTCGATGCATTTTAATACATTTTTCAATTGAAATTCATCATCAATGAAAAGCATTAAACTTTTATGAGAATTTAAATGATTTTCAAGTGAAGTTTCATCCATTCCGGTTGTTGACAATGCAATTTTCAGCTCAGAGCTCTGCAGACAGTAATTCAACAATATTTCATCCAATTTTCGAGCTTTTGACTTGAGGACGTATACTATTGGAATCTCAGACTTATTTTCTTGTAAATATTTAATCATTTTAATTTTTGCAGGCTGAACAACAATTCCATTTGTGACTCTCGACAGCATTCTCTTTGTGCTGCTATTCCATAAAGAAAATCTTTTGTCATCATCCATAATATCAATTGGCTCTAAATGCCATTCATAAGTCAGTCCATAGCTTTCTTTGTCCTTATTGCATCGATTACATTTTGGATCCTTTATACGGATATAATCAGGTTCTATCACAGGCAAGCTTGTTCTCTTTAAAGTCATTAAGTTTCGTTCCATATCAGTCTTCCTTATTTCACGACATCTCATTCTTTCCAATCTTGCACTATCGAACATCTTTCCTGCAATCTTCTTGTCAATCGATGGCTTCTCGAATTTTCCCATTATTTTTATTGATGTCAAGTCTGTAATTAAAAAGAATGAAGCTTCGTTGATTAGTCAGCCATCTTTTTTGCATGTCTTTTGCAGTTAATTAATTCTTAATGATGCGTGCCCATGTAAGGATACAAGCTTGATATTCATAATATAGGTCACTAATGTGGCACAAAAGGCAATTTTCATGGCACGATAAATTGCAATTTTACCGCGTTATTTGGATCATGTGTGCTGGTAATTTTCTATCTATTCTCGTCACACAGAAAAAAATAAGGTTTTGTAATTTCTAGAAGGATTTTGAGGTACGAAACGTGCTGTTAAAGTTGATTTTTTTGTCAAAGAGCGAGAAATAAGCTTTTCGAGCAATTTTATTGCAAACTTAATAAGAGAAGTATCTGTGTGCATAGCTTGGATGAGTCAGAACTAGCTCCTAGCCCCTCAAGATTTAAAACTTTTATTACAATTATATTCTGACTCCTAAAAACTTAAAATGTATAAATAAGACAATTAAAAACCATAAAAATGGACCAAATCCCCCCCCCCCCCCCCCCCTCCCCAAAAAATTCATAGCTTTGCCCCCAACACGACTAGAATCTCCAAATAAAATAAAATACAAATACGATAGCCATCAAATCACTTTACAGTCAAATGACATCAATTACAACCCCTAATCGAAGGACTCTAATCCAAGGCACAAAATAATAGCAATTCAAATTCTCCTGAAAAGGGACTGTTTATAAATGACGTCTAATTTGGAATTAGAAATTCTATTAAGGTAATAAAAAAAAATTTATATGAATTTTGTGACAAGGAGGGAGGGATGGAGGGGGGGGGGGGGGGTTCTGAAAATCTCCTTTTTAATAAACAGCCCTAAACAGCTCTGATCTCTCAAAACTCATCGAAAATAAACATTCCATTAACAATTTTTCAGCACTAAAATTCAATGATAATGACAAAGCAGAAAACAACATTAAAACCACTTACAAAACCCGGGAGTAAATTTATACTTTAAACCGCATGTCGATTTACTCATTTTCTCTTTTTTAAAAAAAAATTTTTTTTTGTTGAACAATAAAGCAAGAACTTTCCATTCATTCACACAGCTGTTTACAGCAAGTCAAATGGAAATATCACAAAATGCAAACGAACAAAACTTTAAACTCTGAAAATTTCGATGCACATTCACAATAAGCAGCAAGCCGCACAATGAAAATGGAAAAAAAATTCCTTTGAAAATGAAGGGAACGAAAAAGTTTTTTTTTGTGGAAAGTTAATTGAGTCGGTTGGTAGGAAACAAGAAACAGCTTTGTCCATACACTCACATACACAAACGCGCTCAGGACAATATTTTAATTCTTTGAATATATATATTTGTTGGGGCTATTTTATTGAAGGGAAAGGGCGGTGATTTAGGCTTTTTGACTGTCTGATTGTGCACAGCTTAGTTTGAGATTGTTGGGCACTTAAAATGTATGTGGGGCTAGACTTTAAGCGACCATGAGCTCATTATTGTACCCCAAAACCCAGCCTTCTCTGAATAAAATTGTAAAGATGAGCGTACTTTAAGTGAGTTATGGATGTCCTAGAAGTTTGAGTCAGAATAAGTCCAATGAACTTGTTCATTAACGTCATAAATTAGAAGATTTTGATCATGCTTAGTTTCTAAGTTCCAGTATGTGCCAGTTGAGATATTTCACTTGCCTGACAGAGTTCTGTTGACAAGTATGAAAGATCTGTCACCTGTGCCTTGTTGACAGACGACCTGTCTCGCAGCCTTGGCTACAACAAGTCCCTAAATTATGTATATCAAAAAATACGCTTTATTCAATCAGTAGCCAATAATATTCATACCACCGTTGTTTAGGTATTATTGTTGTTGTTTAATTTCCTTTCATTTCGCCTCGTTACTAGCGTACAGGTATGGCATACACAAACAATATTCAATTTTTAACGCCACTTGCCTGTACACTAAAACATTTCTTTTATATTATTTTTCCAATGGTATTATTCATGAAAATATATAGAGTAAATTCCTCACACAAATTTTTCATTTAAGTTAGTTTCAACTGGACTTTATAGTGGTGAAGACGCGAAAAAATAACAATAAACGGGCCAAGACAGAGAGAAATAAATAACTCGGGGACAGTGTCAAGAAGGAAATAATAACAATAAAAAAACTAAAAATGACACTTTTGGGACGAGCTTAATAGTGGAGACGATTTTCGTTTTTATGAGAGAAAATTTCATTTCCCTCAAAACTTCATCATTGACTGAAAAATAATATTGTGAAAAAATTTATGTTTTTATGCATAATTCAGTTCATTTTTCCTTCCGTGTGTCGGCATTGTATCTCGTCTAGTTTGTTTGTTTAGTTTTTTTTTTTATCATTCATTAAAAATGGATATCCCAGGTGATTTTCCTTTTTTACAATAATCCCATTTATGACTGCCGCCTTTTTTGCAACGTTGCATAGATTAACGAGATGCTCAGGGGATGTATCTAGGGTCTGATTTTTGTAGATTATGATTTGTGGTGTTAAACTTAAATGGACTAGAAGGTGTTTTAGTGGAAATAAGTGAGGTTGTGGACTAAAATGTCATTTAAGTGATTAAGCTTAGTGCTAATTTGATAGATAATCCAATTATTGAGCAGGAACAAAAGTTTTGAGGGCCGATCATCCTGGTGTGTGTTTTAAAGTGTCCTTTAGAATTTTTGATTGCATTTTTAAAACCAGAATCTTTTATCAGAGATTCAAATTATTAAATCATTCAAAATGCAAATAATGAGTAAATCAGGTTTAATACTTAAAGTTATAATCTTTTGTTAATTTAAAAGGAAGGGAGGTCGAGTGTGGGTTAAGAAAATTTATACTTGCTAATCTCAAAAAAAAACTAGGTTTTTAGAACCCCTTCCCTTCCCTTGTTGTCAGAAAATTTGTATAAAAAAATATTGGACATCATTTATGAACTTAACTTCAATTCCTCGCATAAAACTCCTAGATACACCCCTACAACTAGCATCTCCCCTACAAAATGCAATATAATGAAAAAAAGATGAATTTTTAATTCCATAAAAAACATAAATTTTCTGTGTCTGTGAATAAATTTAGATACGGGAGCTGTATTTGCATTCGGACGATCACATCTGACCATTTCCGGCGAGGGAAATGACAATAATTATTTCTTCGTAAAACGGGATAAAATTAAGAAATTAATCTGTGGAGAAAATCAAAGTGCCGTAATATGTGGTAAATTAAGATTAAACGACATTTTGCTGCTTCTTATTGCACACTTTTATTATTATTTAATCATTGTACTTTCACTCTTATGCTTATAATGAAAATTACTAGTTTGATAAATATAAATTATTGACTTGGGACACGATAAGCTAACACAAGGACAAAAATAACATTATTAGAGCGGAAGTGGAAGAGAATTTATAAATTTCTTCATAAGAACCGTTTACCTTTAGAAAAGCTGACGCTCCACGACTTTACGTTTGAAAAATTTATTACCTATCTATGACGTTGTTACATGATGTTCATAATTGATGATATAAAATGTGTGTGTGTTTTATAGAAATTTAAATAATTGATGGACGAGATTAAGAATTGATCATTGGGAATTTGGATATTGTGTAATGAATAGGAAAAGATTTAACCTCAAATGGAGATTTGGACAACGAAGCCAGTGGTAAAACCATTTTTAAGGGGGATTTTCTGGGTTCTCTATTCTTAGTTTTGAACATTTCGTAAGGTGTCTGGACCTTATTGGAACCAACTGCCCCCCTCTCTTTCTGATCCATGGTAACAATTCTTTTATTGAAATAAAATCAAAAGCACTTGATTACTAGAATATCACATCAATCACATGCTATTGAGTACTTCCGAAGGTACCAAAGTATTCTAGAATTAATTTAATCCCAATTAAAAATCAATGTCGTGCCTTTAACAATTTAAAAGACTTGATTAATCCACATTCTAATGACTTTCCTGATAAATAAATCAATACAAATTGCCCATCTTCTTAAAGACATCAAAAACAGCTTTAAAAGTTTTATGACACTAATTACCTAATTCCCAAAAATAGACACTCTTAAATCACTTGACCAGCAAGCGAAAGCATAGCATGGCATACGAAAAAATTGATTACTAATGAATGTGTTATTTTCACGTTTAAACTATTTTTTTTTTTGTTGACATGACATTTTTGGTAAAAACTGTATTTACTACGCAATCAAGTCTGGTTCGATAATATCATTAAGAAGAATCTGCTGACCTTCACAAAACGGTTATGTAATAAAAGAAGAAAGTAAAATACTTCAATTTAGAACGTTATGGAAATTTCATGTTCAAAGTAGTTCTCTTGACTGGAAAATAAAGAATGTTTTAATCATTCATCATGTGAATTGTGTGCAACATGCTGTTATTGACAATTCCGAGTAAAATATTAATAAAGTCTGATGTATAATTGTGCAATTAAATTAATTAATAATGTGCATTGTAATTATTTGTATCAAAACATATAGATGAAATGGATGTTTTTAAAAAAGAATATTGGCATTGAGAGAAGCCAAGCAACAAATATTGTCAATTTTATTCTTTGATGTTTAATGCAAAAGGAGTGTGCAACATATGATTATGAAAAAATAATGGCATAATGACAACCTTTAGCTTGCATCGTGGTTCTTAACATTAATGAAGTTGTGTGAAGCATGCTATTATTGTCATGGGAGTTGTGCATCTGTCGGAGCAGGAACGTAATTTGGAGAATAACGATTTATAGATTCTGGTTCGCTGTAAGTGTTCAGTTTGAACTTGTTTGAGCCACAGCGACACTTAATTGCCTAAACTTAGAACAGTTGAGAACGAATTTTAAATTTGGATTTCAAATCATTACACTCAGGAACGCTTTGCAGACCCAAATTTACATAATCATCACAAACAATACCTTAATATCCCCTCAAACGTCCAGTCTGCGGTTAGCCTGTAATATTGCAATCACTACGAA